GCCGCGAGCCTCTGGTCAGAGCCCATTTCCTTCCCGCCCAGCGCGCCCTCTACTCCTAAGAAAGGCGTGACCTGCTCCATCCTGCAGCGCCGGTGCCACAGGTGGGCCTGCCTTTTAGATTTCACTGCCAGCCACGCCCCTACACCGCACACCAGTGACTTCACTGGTGCAGGGCCCAGCCCGCATACAGTCAGCGGGCTACCCAGGGGCCCTTCCCTCCATGCACCCCCTCTCTTCCGGGTGTGCATTGCCTCGTCCCTCCCAGGTGCTTGGCGAATCTGCCCCATGCAGCTGTTCTGAGTTGGGGGAGATGGATTGATGGGCTGCCGAGGACTCCTCTGCGCTCTGCGCTTTGCCGTTAGCACAGCAGAGCTGTGCATCTGTTGGCATCAGCAGGACTCTCTGCTTAACGGCCAGATTAATAGAATGAGGAAGCCGAGGAAGGTTGAAATCCCTGGTGTCAGCTTTCCCCTCAGCGGGCAGCCCCTGGGGGGCACCAAGGAATCCTGCCTGCAGTGGTGAATGCTTCCCTCGTCCCAGATGGCGGTGACCCAGGAACCAGGCGACTTAGAAAGGAAAAAAAAAAAAAGCCTGAGAGGAGTTGGAATTTGGTTATCGGCCTGGTGGCATTATCATGATCCCCACTCACTGACGTGCGCCAAGAACTAGCTTCTCCCATTGGATCCCCTCAGTGCCCTAATTACATAGGTGCTCTCGTGATCCCCAATTTCCAGATGAGGAACGGAGGGTACACAATTTGTCCAGGGTTGCGCAGGAAGGATATAGTGTTGGAGGGTGTCAGACTCAGAGTCATATGCCATGAGAATCTGTCTTCTCAGCCTCTAACCCATTTCTCCAGTTGTCTTGACCAGTAGAAGAATTTGCTAGTGCTCAGGCAGAGCTAGAGGGCCGGGCTTGATGTAAACTGCCCAAGGTCCATGGGAAGGAAGGAAGGAAGGAAGGAAGGAAGGAAGACAGGAAAGGAGGGAGGGAGGGAGAGACAGAGGGAGGGAGTGAAAGAGAAAAGAAAGATGCTTTCCACAAGTACCCACAGATGTACTTAAATAGGAAGAGCAATAGGTAGATGGTGAATGCAGATCTACAGATAAATAGAAACAGTGCTCCACACAGTGAGTAGTTCTTTTTTTCTAATTTTTTTCTAAAATATTTTTATTGAGTTCAGAGGAAGGGAGAGTGAAAGAGAGAGAGAGAAGTATCAATGTGAGAGAGAATGATTGATCAGCTACCTCCTGCACGTCCCCTACTGGGGATCGAGTCTGCAACCCAGGCATGTGCCCTTGACCGGAATCGAACCTGGGACCCTTCAGTCCACAGGCCGACGCTCTATTCACTTAGCCAAACCGGCTAGGGCACAGTGAGTAGTTCTTTGATAGATAGGTTGCCATAGGACTGGTGGGTAAAATGGTTTAAGTAAAGGACCCAATACAAACTTTATTTGCAAGCAGCAAAAATGAAACATCTCCTTGTGCATCAGTAGTGTTGTGAAAAATTTGAACTCTCATTATTTGGTTCTCTCTTTCTCATTGACCCCCCTGATGGTCTATCATTTCAGAATCCACTGCAATTGACAAGGCCTCTTGTCATTTAATTTTAGCTGCTCTGCCTCCCTTCTCCCCAGCAGCTTCACTGTCAAGTAGTTACTGGCCTCTACGCAAACACAGTGGTGCCCTGGGAACTGTAATAAAGGACCTCTTCCGTCGAGTAAAGATTTGTCAGTCTGGCTCTCTGCGAAGTTGGCCCCACTTAGACGGGAACAGACCTTGGTTTACTTGAGATCCCTCTCAGGACCTAAAGGCCGAGGGCTTCAGGAGGGAAACTCCTGACAGCTCAGCCTGCAACGACCAATCAGACACTTGAATTTCTTTGATCAGCTAACTGGGGGAGAAGGGGAGAGAGTTACATTCGTATCATTAAAAGTCGACGCTGGGGCCCCTAAGGGTTGTGAACAGAGCTCACGAGGAGAATGAGTAGGGATGGAAGGAAATCAACACTTTAGATGTTATGCCGTTGTAAGTCCATCCACCCATTCGCTTATTCAATAAATAGTTTGGGAGCCAGGAGGAGGCCAGGCCTTGTGCGAGATGCTAAAGTAAAGTTACAATAATGAGCAAGACAGGGGGTTCCCTGCCCAGGGAGCACCCATTCTGGTTGGGGGAGTCACACAGTGAATTTTCAGATAGAAACGCCCATCCTGTCAGCGGGTGATAAGTGAACAGAAATGAGACAGGCATGGAGAGTGAGTGGGCACAGTGCAGGGGTTGTTCAGGGAGCTCTCTCCCTGGAGGTGAGTTTCAAGCTGAGGAGGGAAGATTTGGGCTGAGAGCTGACGGCTGAGAAAGAGTTAACCAGGCAAAGAGGCCGCGGTAATGGTGTTCTGAAATTTTTGCATATTATATCTGGCTTCCTGTAAAAACAGTGCCAGTTTTCCTTAGGATCAATTAAAGTGTTAGTTCCTTCGAGCTCCTCGGATGCCTTCGTGTCATCAGAATGTCAAGATGAATAAGGAGTTACCTTATCTTGCAAAGGGGAAGGGAAAGGACTGAGGAAGTGAAAGAGAAGAAAAGGGGGTTCAGGGTGGGGCCACACTAAAGTCCAGGGCGAGCATGTTGACAGGACCAAGGGAATTTTGGGGTCTCGGCAATGTCATGCTAATAATGGGGGTGTCGTGGGAAATCCGGCTAAGAGTTGTCATTAGTTTAATAGCTGCCTCATGCTCAGTGGGACTGTAGCCTCGGTCTAATCCAGTGGTTCTCAGCTGGGAGCAAATTTATCGCTCTTCCCCTCGCCCCCCCAGGGGACATTTGGTGGCATCTGGAGACATATTTGATTGTCACAACTCAGGGGCAGGGATGTGCTACTGGCATCTAGTGGGTAGAGGCCAGGGAGGCTGCTCAACGCCCTGCAAATACACAAGAAGTAATTATCCAGCCCCAAATGTTAGTAGCATCAAGGGTGGGAAGCCTTGGTGTAACCCCATTTGCTCTGCGGACAGCTTA